AGAGTGAAGTCTAAGCTGCATGTGTGTCGGCTGGCCGTGTGTGTGTGTGTGTGTTTGTCAATACTGAGAGAGTAGATGATCGTAAATGTTTTTCTTGCACTGTTACAGCTTTAAAGTAAATGTTAGTAAATGTTTTTCTTGCACTGTTACAGCACTGTTACAACAGTAACACTGCTGTAACAGTGCTGTAACAGTGCCTGTTGCTGTTTATCCCATCTGTGTTTCACTGCTAATTTTCACTTAAAGATGTAGTATTTTTTAAGTTCAAAACTGTCTCACATTTGACTGTGCTCCAGCAGAGGGCGTTGTAAGATTATTTCACCCCTAGATTGTCTGTTTGAGTCTGTAGAAAAAGACAATACTACGAGTTTAAAAACTATATATATTCATGAGTATATGAATGGTTTGGGGAAACAGATTCAGGTTCAAACAGAAACAGATTCCATGGTTCATTTCAAAATGAAGATCCACAGAGTTATAAATTTGCTACTGTTTTTTAGTTTGAAACTGTTTGAAAGGTAATATGAGTCTCTGAATAGACAGATGGACTTGTGACTTTATTTGATTTTACAAACCAGGCATTGTACTTTCTTCTGGCTGAGCAACAAGTTGTAACAGCAGCACTGCTTCAATATTTATTTCCGTTTTTTCCTTTTTTTTTTTTTTTTTTTTTACCAAAACATCTTTATCTGGAACTTCTCTGGGGAATTTTCTACCTGTTGCAGCTGGCTTCACCAGTTCAACATTCTATGGTCTCCCTTGTCATTGCTTCTGTTGACCTTTATACAAATCAGTATGTGAACAGAGCTCAGTCATATGACACAAACATATTTCACTGTATGAACACTCATTGACCTCTTCAAACTTTATATTGTTTCTCTGTTGTCAACATCCTGTTTAGACTTTAGGTTCCGTCTTTGTTTTCTCCACTCCGGTGCCTGTTAATCCTGAAAGGGCAACATCAACATGGCAGCTCTGCATTATGAGATCACATAATTACACTTAGCTTAAATGAGCCCTACGTCCATATAATGTAGTACTACTTTCAAACTACCATTACATTATAAGCACTACTTTCTTATGAGCGTTCTACTAATTAGACAACGTCAGACCACGCAGGCGAGTGAGCCCAGGCTGGAGTTGGTGAAAGTCATCTGTTGAGATATTCTGACTCTGTTGAGTGGAAAGTCAACATATGAAATATTTAAGATCCACTCGAGTGCATGAGCGGCGGGAGTGTAACGTGGATTAGCCGTTCGAAGCGTAAGCCGTGTGTAAGCACACAGATAATCTTAGCGTGGGTTTGATAGCTTGTTGTGACTGTACAGTTGAAAAGAACAGAATGGAGACAAAGTCCAGAGCAGTGAAGACTGAGAGGCTACAGAAACAGAGACAGTTCTTACAGATGACGTATCTTGATCAGTGTTTCCAGGTTGAGTTTTTAGTGATAAATCTCTGTATGTGCTAAGTTGACTTTTCGTCTTCTTGACACTGCCATTGGTCCAGCTGACACTAAGGGTCACAGACTCTGGAGTCTGATGAGGTCAAACTCAGAGACGAGATACAAGGTGAAGAGACACGTGGGTCAGTTGAAGACAGATGCTCTCGCAGAAAAGAATGCATTTTAAATACATGAGTGTGGACTGCATTCATTTAACCTTGACAGCAATAAGTCCATTAGATGTCCTGCAGTTTCTCCAGGACATCCAGATCTTTAAACTAGATGAAAACAGGTTTCACCGTTGGATCCATTGGGTAGCGGTGGGTGGTTTCAATGCTGTTTTTTTTTTGTTGTTAAAGGAGTTAGTTAGAAAAAAAAATCTTGAAGTGCTTCATACATGTCTTTTGAATATCTTATATCAGTTTTTTAAATATTTATGCTGTAACCTAAATGCTTGCTGCAGTGTAGCACATATTGATGCTAATGTAGCTCTGGATGCCTGGCTGATCCTTTAAGGAAAGTATTGGACTGTTGGGCCAGTTTTGTTTGAAGGTCAGTTTGAAGATTAACTCTTTTTTGATGGTGATGTTCGTGCCACAACAGCTACTTTTTTGACTTCATGATAACAGAGAGGGAAAAGAGAGAAGAAAGGAAAGGTGACGAAGGCACGTGTGTTTGTGCCAGAAGTCCCTCACGGCAGAGGAATCCCTGCTCTTTCATATCTCACCAAGCGCAACTAACTTCTCGCTCTTTATTCTGTCACACACACAAACACGCACGTTTACAAGGCCTCACATGACTGTTAAACACACACAAACATGGGGGTGGGGTAGTCTTCTCACCTGAAAAACACAAGATCAGACAGTCCAGCTAATGGTAATTTTTGAGACACTGCAGGATAAAGTGGCCCAAAAGACAACATATTTGTATTCAATTTCAGATTTTGTTAATGACAGGATTCATTCAAAATCATCAAATCATTCAAAAATCAGAATTGAGCATTGAGCAAAATTAATATAAAAAGACATTAGTGATGGACATGAATAATTGACATTTCATATATAGCAGTTCTTCACAGATTTGACTTATTCCTGGCTGTGTAAGGAAATCCGTGTGCATTGTTGGATTCTACTCACTGTTGTCCTCAAATTACAGCCACTGCAGAGGGTTGTTGTGAACAAAGATGACTGTTGGCTCTATTCAGGACAGCTCTATCACCAGTGGTTGCAGTCATGTCTTGATTGCTTCAGGCAGCTGACGTGATGTTCTTTAACGCTCCCAAAAGAGAGAATTTCTGATGACATCTTTTGGAGCTAAGTGACTGCAAAATCTCACCTCCAGGAAACAAGTTTAAATATGGTTGTGTGGTGTGTAGTTATCGATGTAGAGGCACAGGGGGAGCTACCTTCAAATTTAAAGTATTATACATTTTTTCCCCATCATTCAGAAGTGGATGTGCTCTATCCAATCCTGAAGAGCTAATTATAGGAACAGATTTTTATCCCGAGCACATGACTTACAGAGATCAGCCGGGGTTTTTTTTTTTTGTTGGATTCCCAGTGAGAAAGCAATTAAAAAGGTCAAGTGTTTTGTCAACAGGACTGAGCATGAGAGCGTCTTCATCTCTGCAGGGGAGATGACTCTCCGTCTTCTCACAGCTGCAGGCTACAGTTGACCGATAGTGGTTTTATTTTGACCAAGTCCGTATATTTCTCGCACAGAAATGAAATTCAGAGCAGTGACACATCTGATCATCTGATCATCTGATCCTATCAGACAAGATAAAAGAGCTATCTGTCTCAAACATAAAAAAGATTTAAAAAAAATATGATCCACGTTTGATAAATTCCTTGCACAGACTTCAGAAAATTCCCTGTGAGGACAAGTCATGTGACAGCAGCCACAGTGGGGGCCACACTTGTCTGCCAGTTTGCTTTAACCATGACTGCTGGTTGGATTATTGCTAATTTAAAACAGAAAGCACACTGCCATTAATAGCAATAACGAGGAAATAAATATTTAAATATACGCTCCGTGATGCAAGCTCTGGATCTAACGGTTCACTTGGAGGCAGAGAGCTGCTAACTGTTGTTGAGGGGGAGCTGGAGCCAATCACAGCAGTCAAAGGGCGAGGGCGGGCTTCACCCTGGACAGTTTGGAAGTCCGTAATACTGTAGGTCTCACAAAGAATCTTTCAAATTCACATTGAAACATATGGTAAATTTAGAAGTTCTGGTCAACCTCCATACAGAAAGACGAGGGGATTTCCTGAGTGGGTTGTCAGACACAGGTGCTTTCCAATAAGCCACCTTTTAACACACACACACACAGACACACACACATAACAGGATTCATTCTTTAAGATGTATGACCATAACAGGACTGCCCCTCAGTGGATGCCAACTGGCATCTTACCAGACCTGTCACGGTGCTACTGTTAGCATCTATAACAGGGAATGGATCCAGGAGAAACATATGGGGATTTCACACCTACAGAAGATGGAGCTCCAGGTCTAACAGGCACTGAAGCCCATCTGTACTGGGTCTACAGACTGTGCACCACTTCAGAGCAAGGAATTTCAAACTTAACCCTCAAGAAGAATTAGCTTTAGCTTTAACGTCATGGTACATAAACAGATGCTAACACACAATGACATGATTTAAATCTTAATCAGAAAACCACAGTGTCACTTCTCCGAGGCCTAGTACGACCTGGGGTAGGATGGAAGAAACTGTGCCAGTTCCCCTGGCAGACTACCACCACGGTGACCCTTGATGAAGGACAAGCGCAAAGTAAATCTTCAGTTTAAACTTCAACAGCGTTGACGATTCTCTCATCGTTATTTTTTTAAAACCAGATAACCTGAATATGATCGTCCCTCCTGCCCTAACACCGCAGCTGTTCTGCCCTGCTCAGTGGGGCAGAACAGGACATCAAGTGTTGTTCCCTTTTTGTTCTTAAAGAGAATAAACGTGATGCCCCTCACTGCAGCAGGAGAAATTACATGATGATATGAATCAAGACAAGGACGGAAAACTTTTTCCTAGAGGCCGTGCTGTCTCCTGCTAGCTGTCCTCATTGAGTCCAGCATCTCTTTTACCCTTAGCAGTGTGTAGACGTCTTTGTGCATGTGTTTGTGTTTGTTTGTTTGTTTCACATGTGAAATACAGTGTGTTTGTGTTTGTTTGTTTCACATGTGAAATACAAGGGGTTCAGGAAACAATTACTACCATGCTGTGTGTACACCTGTGCTGCCCTGTGTGTTTACACACACACACAAACAAACTCGCCTTAGAAATACCTCATTAAGCCTGCTCCTCTACATGTACACACACATGTACACACTCACGCATGCACACACACACACTCTGGAGGGATGTCTTTGCACTCACACCTGTTTTCCAGCTTTACTGAATCTTTTCTTCTTCTGCTTTTCAACTAAAATGTTTCTTCTGTCGTTTTCTCCTCTCCTGCTCCTTGTCCTTAACATCTGTGTCCTCCTTCCCATGATCACCCTCCCTTCTCCACCTTTGGCTCCTCCTTGTTCTCACATGATAGAAGTATCGGTATACAGAGGAAGAAGGGGTCTCACCAGGTACCCCAAAACTCCACCACCACCGTGCCTGCCTCCAGCACCCTACGGGAGTGACCAAGGAGCTGAGAGACGGAGGGACTCTGGGGAGGGAGGATGGCACCTGGAGGAGAGAGGGTGGGGAGAGGACCGGTACCATGGAGAGAGAGCGGGATCGCTCACTGGGGAGGGACGGATCTCTGGGTCGCTATGGTGACCTGCGAGGGCCGGAGCTGGTCCAGGTGGCAGAGCGGCAGCTGTCACAGATACAACACGTCCACGGATACGTCTCTCACACACACATCACACCTGCACAGGTAAAGAAGTCTGGACATGTGTTGGTCTAGCTGTAGCTCCGTGTTCGTCTGCATCAACAACACATTTGAACAGATGAGTCAAACGTGACATTGATCGTCCGCATGACCTGACCTGTTTGTCAAAGTGACATTTCTGTTTGCTGATGATCCAGGTGTGTTTTATGTTCTTCAGTCATTGACTAACACTACATTGTCTTTGTGTTAATGTTCCTGGTGATTATATTATATTGATGCTCTTTATAGAACCCTGTTGTTTACAGTTTAAGACAGGAGAACAACACTTCAGTACTTTACATGTATATTTTATATATATTTTATATATTTTAAAACAAGACCACAATCATAAAAAAGTGTTAAATCTTTAGAAGCTGGTTATTTAATATTATTGGGGGATTTTCAGACAATTGAGAGACTGGATTTAGAATCGTGTCCAAGCTTCGACCACAGAGGTATTTTATTTTTGAATACTAATATCGACTAATAACTTTGGGAAAAACAAAAACATAGTTTCTACCTGAATAATATGAATAATAATAATATTTAATGGGCACTTTGGAAGTATGTCAGCAGTAATACTAGTGTCTAGCTCCACCTAGTGGCGCAGTATCAACAACTAAAAGTATCTTTGTCGCCAACCGATGAAAATTTAACGCCATTGTCTCTCCTCCCGGTCGTTCACCTGACGTCTGTAGAACATTCCGACGTGATGTGAAAGTGTTTGCACGTTCTGTCTGGAAAACTGTGGTTTCCAGCTTATTTTAGGAACTCTTTCTGTCCATCTAAGTGTGTGTATGTGTTTGTGCATCTGTGGGTGTGTGTGCATGACCACAGGTGCAGGACCTGGCTCAGGGCTGTGACAGATGGTCCAGACATCCTGTTCCTGCCTCTGCGTCTTCTTTTTCTTCCATTTTTTCTTTTTCCATCTCGTTCCCAAAAACACGACTACTGCACCTTTTCTGTCATCATTTCATCCAGTACTTATAAAAGTATTTTACTATTGTACTGCAATAGTTGTATGAGCATATAACACAATACATCTGGCATTTTGCGAATACGCAATACTTGTGAAAACGACTCATTTTGACCATTGCCTGGATTATTGGTGGCCCATTTTCGGTGCCACAGTCTGAGAGTGTTGTTTCATATTGAGCTCATTTTATACATCGTAGGTAGAATCTCCCGAGATTCCCTTTGATGACGAGGCTTGGCCTCACGCAGAGAGAGAGAGGCAGCAGGAGGTTCCCGCTCCACCATTTTCAACCCTCTACCCAGAAAGCCATGCCTACTATCAGGTAAACGTGCCCCTGCCTGCTGCATGCGTTTTTGAAGCTAACTGTTCAGAATAAGAAACAAAGAGTTTGTTTTACTACTGCATGTTGTTTTTTTGTATGAAAACAATTCTGCAGCATGCCGACATTTGTCTGAATTAAGTCAGTAATCGAGAACTTTCTGGTGCAAAACAGTAAAGTTAGAACCAGTATTGTGTCAATTATGTTGTGCTGAATCTTTGGTTCTTGGTTCTCTCTTTGAACTTTGCTTTTCATATTTTTTTATCACTTTTATTGTTGTTTGGCTTTTACTGGAAAAAACGAAAAATATAGAGACGTGAACACCTTTTTACCGTGCCCTTCTAAAAGAATACACACTCTGTGGTGACGCCACTTTGTGACTGGTGTCGATAACGTAGTTACACATTTTTGACTGCAGGTGGCAGCAGAGGCTAAAGTTTGGCGTGTGTGCGGTCAGACCGAAATGTAATGGGGGCTGGATGGTCGAAAATCTCGGGGCTGAATAACCACAATCATAGCCGCCTGTCTTTGTACCGACAAAGTCAAAAACACAAAACATGTCCGTTGTTTATGCTCGTACGTTTATTAGCAGCCGAAGAAACCAAATCTGGAAATAAAACACAAAAGTCATTCATTTTGTCTACAGACAAACAAATTAGATGTAGAGCGTCCACTCAGTGTTCTGAGGCTCTTAGTCATTAGGCTAATGTGGATAATTAGGAAGGAAGTATAGATGGAGAGAGGTCTATGGAAGGACAAGAGCTGGGATAAAAGCAGAATTACAGACAGACAGACACTGAGACAGGGGGCAGATTTGTTCCTGGTTGTTAATCACCTTGTCAGCCAGCCAAATCACTTCTTCCAGATAAATCTTTCCCCCCTCCTGCTAATGCTTTAATAGAAATGAATGAGTTTCTGCTTCCGCACAGCTAAGTCACACTAAAGCTTTGCTGGCGAATAAACAGCACAGACGACAGTGTCTGCTGCGTAACGAAGAGTAAAACCTAAATCACACCCCAAAAATCAGAGGCTCAGCTTTTTTTCTTTCTTTTTTTGAGTTTGGCTTGAACAGGAGCTTTCCCTGTTCTGTAGGGCTTTTGGTATATTGAGCTCTACCTCCAGCGTTTTCTTGGGGAGGTTGACAGCTCAGCTCTTTAAAATAGCTTTTACCAGAATCAGTAAGAGATCTAATGGAAGGATTGGGCAGAGGCCAAAAGGATTAGGACTTACTGGTGTACACCTCAGTATAGATCTGCAGGGACTCTGTTTTTACACTATCAGAGGCCACACCGGTGTTTCTTTCATGTCCGTGTACATCGCAAAACAGGTGTTATTGATTTGTTGACGGTCGTGCTGGTCTCAAAGGTGAGAAAATACGATCTCACTGATTAACAACCAGGCAAAATGTTCTGTATGTTTGACCACAATTGGTACCATTTAATTCCATACTGTTATTAAATGGTAAAGCCCAGCGGAAGGAGACAAAGGTGAAATCTCATGTGATTTGAAATGTCAGTTTTGGCAACAAAATGGTCTTAATCACTGGCCTTAAGTCCAACTGATATCACATGTTGTCAAAATGTCCTATTGAAATCCAATTTGGATGAAAAAAGACAATAAAGTGAAACATCACAACATGATAGAATTAATAATATGGACAAATGTCCAGAGAAATATGCCTGAATATAACTCCAGATTTTACTCCATAAAGTTGAAGGAATTTGGCATCACTGTGGATCTGTGAAGTGTTTTTTTTTTAAAACGTGTTGAGTCGCTTTGAAAAATTTGGTTTAACTATCATCCTCAACAGTATCATTCAGTTTATAGAGACTCACAGTCAGTCAGTCACATGCTCAGCATTAGGGTTGTATTTTAAGCTTGAGGTGCTTTGGTGAAACAAAAATTATTTTCAGCAGCGTGTGTAGATAACAACACGTGTGCCACCCAGTGGACTAGAACACTGATAAATGACTGGATTACAGAACACTTGTTCTGTGTATATGCTAAAATGGTTTAAAATTCTAATTTAGAAAATAAATGTATTATTATTTAAAGTTATTTTTCACAATAAAAATTCTCTTATGATTCCATGGATCATCTGATGGCACATCATTAATGTCTCTTTTGAAATTTTTATAAAGTCTACGTTATTGTTTTACCATGAACTGATTATTATTACTTCAGCAACAGTTTAATGTCAGTTCACAGGAGTGAAATAATGAAATATTCATTTGTTAATACTACACTTGTGTATTGGTGTTCGCCTTGTGTTACTAGTTTAGGCAGGTTGTGGGCCAGTCCTTGAATGCCTGACAGCCAGGACCAGAAAAAAAAGAAAAACAGATACACCATCTGCATGCAAGCTATCTATATTAGCACCTACCTGCAGAGGATAAAAGGGCAAAGTTGGCTCTCTCAGCAGTCCGGCATTAAACATGCATGATGTGTGCTTTTATTTAATTGGTCCTAAAATATTAATAGGGCTGGCATTCAGTGGCTGACATTTGACTGGAGGCCGACGGAGAGAGGAGGAAGGATGGAAGGAGGAGGAGGAAAAGTGAAAAAGAGGGAAGGATAAAGGAGAGGTTGTAGCGCGGCCAGTGTGTCACATGACTGTCACCGTCTCAGCTGCCGTGTCTGTGGGTTGTATTTTCTGTCTTGGTGGTTGTAAAGGCTGCATAACCGGCAGATGCTAATAATATGGTTCCAGCTGTAAATTGTGTTGCTATGACGCTGGTAGCTTCTCACTGGCAGCCACAGGATTGATGTGTTGTTCTGTGACTGATTGTCGGTGCAGTAGGTTGGAGCTCACATTGCTGCAGTCAGCAGTGCTTTGGTTTCTATGTGAGCTGCTTTAACACAACACATTTTGTTCAGGTGCAGTCGTGAATGTGTGACTTTCTGAAGTTATATTTGAATAATAATTATTCTTTATGTACGCCTTTATGTCCAACTCAGAGATGTTTAACAAAATTGAGGCGTAAAGACAATGAAACAATATATGTAATATACGATATGTAGAGAATATTTTAACTATATATGTAAAAAAAAATATATGCATATAGGCTCACACTGTGAAGGTGTGGCGAGTGTTGAGGATTGTGGCTTATAATATGTGTTTACAGCTGTTATTAATCTGACCCTTTGAGGGTGGGGGCAGCCACAGACAAGGACCTATCTGCCCCAGTGCCACATGGTGGAAAGGAGGCTGTTGCCGCTGCCTTACAGCAAGGAGAGCTGGGGTTTTTCCTAGAACTGAAGATTCCTCCCACAATCCAAAGCCATGCAGAATGGGTATTAGATTAAATAGAGTCTCTGAATTGACTGAAGCCATAAATGTCAGTATGTCTCTGTATGTGGCCCAGTGATGGACTGACAAACTGTCCAGGGGAAAATGCCCTTGACCGTTCACTGCTGGCATGGTTCCTTTTCAGGGTCACATGGGGAGTGTGACCCTAAAAAAGAATAATCGTGCAAACGTGCATCTCCCTAGATTCATTGCGACTGACCACCTAGAGATACACAGACAGCTGAACGTTTGTGTTTAAGTGCAAACCAAATTCCACCACTTTATTAATGCACTGTAACAGACTCCAGCTTCATCTTACAGTGTAGTCAGAAGCTTCTTGCAAACATGGTGATTCAGGCACAGGACGCTGGTGTGATGAAGTGCCACCCACATATAAACCAACTGCCTCCTTGATCTAATGCTAATAGAGAGCAGAGGAGATCTTAGATCTATTTAGATTTTAGGAATCAGCACAGCCGCTGTCAGGTGTATTTTAGGACTCGGGAAGCTGTTGCCATAGTTACGGTTCCCAAGGAAACACAGGCAGAAGCTGTGACAGGGGTCCTGCTTCACCTGTGGCTAATCCTCCGGGAGGTTAGGGCGGCTAAATCACCTCAGGTGGCCGTGAATCTGTTGGAAATGATTCAGTTTTATTGTGTTGCCCGGGCAGTGACAGCGTCTGTAACCTGCAGGTGCTGTAACCACGCAGCCACCAGCCTGGCTGCTCACTGACTTCTGCTGCCTTTGGCCCCAGACATTAAAGCTAATCCAAGCAAGCATGTGGATCTTTGCATTATTATTTTCTCTCCCTCATGTAAGTTTGTGTGTGTGTGTTTGTGTGTGTGTGGTGTGTGTTTGCATAAGAATGAGTGAAAGTGTGTGGGAGAGCTGGGTGCTGCAGTGTCTGTAGGCAGCCGGGAGAAAGAACGCGTTTTACACACACACACACCCACGCACGAAACACACTACGAAC